AATATCCATGGGAGATCCCAGTTCAATGTGTCTACTAGGCTGTTGGAGATGCTAGCAGCATGTCAGCAGGGAGGTTGGACCTGGATAAGTAGATTTGAAAATCATCAGCATAGTGATGATAACTGAATCCATACATAGAGACAAGGGTGTCTAATTGTATATGATACATTTTACACTTTCTATTCCATTCCCATAGATTACATGATTAGATATAGAGGAAATTCAAATAATGGCCCCCAATCAGCTCAGGCCCCAATCCCAGATATATTGAAAGTCTCTAACATTATTTAAACTCAGTCATAGAACTTTTTTGGGGGGTAGACCAGGCCAAGGAGCATGTATTTTACAAGCAAAATACTTAATCAAATTACAGTAATTAGTAAGAATGATCGTATATAGCACAGAGGATGTTGAATTTGGAATCAAAATACCTGAGTTCATATCCTAACTCTACCATTTGCTGTTGTATGGGGCAGCTAGATGGTAGAATGTGGGACCTAAAGTCAGAAAGACCTGAATTTGAATCCTGCCTCACATATTTACTAGATAGGCAACTCAGGGCAAGTTATTTCAATTCTGTGTGCCTCAGTTTCCTCATCAGTAAAATGTGGATAATAATACCTATACAGGATTGTTGCAAGGATCAAATGAGTTAACTTATGTAAAACATTTTGCAAACCTTAAAGTATATAAAGCTAAGATTATGATTATTGTACCTTGGACAATTCACTTAATCACTTTTGAATGCCTCAGTTACATCATCTATAAAGTGAGGGGGTTGTGTGAAGTGTCACTTAGGGCACCTTCTAGATCTAACTCTGTGATCCTTTGATCTTAGTATCCAGATCTTAGAATTACTAGGGCAAAGCGATCTTGTCAAGGGAATTTAGCACCTTGTTAAAGAGGCATTCCAAAAATCCTTACCACGTGCCTCTTGAGAACATCCTTTATAAGAGTATGTGCATAAATATGTATGTATTATAGATAGATAGATCTAGATATCTCTATACAACATATATACACACACATATGTGTATATATGTACATATAGTCATTACAGTGTAACTGATTTTAAAAAGCAAATGTATGCCTGCTGCCTCCTAAGCTGATAGTAGGCTTTTTAAAAAAAATTTTTTTTTTTCCTGAGGGATAGTAGGATGAGCAGAAGTTCATCAGTGTGTAGAACTCTAGGCAGCTAGGTGGCGCCATAGTGCACAGAGCACTGGACTCAGAATCAGGAAGATTCATCTTCCTGAGTTCAAATCTGGTGTCAGACGCTTCCTAGCTGTGTGACCCTGGACAAGTCACTTCACCCTGTTTGCCTCAGTTTCCTCATCTGTAAAATGAGCTGGAGAAGGAAATAGCAAACCACTCCAGTATCTTGGCCAAGAAAACCCCAAAGGGGGTCATGAAGAGTTGCACATGACTGAAAATGACTGAACCAAAACAGAACTCCTGGTGTGGAAACTCCCTTTATCAAAGTAGATCAGCAACTCCACTGCAACTTAGTTTTAGAGTTGCCTGTAGCACCAAGGGATTAGATTACTTGAGCATGGTCACACAGCTAATATCTGGTAGAGGTAGTTCTTGAACCTAGTTCTTCTTGACTCCAAGGACAGCCTTCTATTCGCTACAACACACTGTCTCAAAATGAGTTTTATATTTGGAAATAATAAGAAAAAGGATGATTTTAAATGACTTGTTCTTATGAATACAATTATTCAAATTTTGCTTTTACTATTCAAAGAGAATTTTTCTCTTTTATTTGAAAAAGAAATTACTACATTTGTACTCAGCAAAAGCCACTATTCTAGATACTTTGGGGTATACAAAATAAGAAAAATATGTTCCTGTCCTCAAGAGGTTTACAATCTAATTAGTTTCTTTTCGGGTAACACATCTAGCTGTGGGGGGTGAGGGGGGAGGTATATCATAATCACTAAGAATATGCCTGAAGAGAGGCAGAATGGCATAGTAGGTAAGGAGCTGGCCTCAGAGTTAGGAAGACCTGAGTTCAAGCTCTGCAGCTTGGATAAGTCACCCAAACTCCGGGCCCCAAGCAACTAGTTGCTGATATGCATTGATAGAGAGGGTTTCCTCACAGAGAATTAATTCCCTATAAGAATGAAATCACAGGTTGGTACCAAAAACAAAACAAAATACAAACAAACAAAAAGAATATGCCTGTATAAATGCTTATGACTCTCACCTCTACATAAAAACAATTTCATTACGCTGAGGAATGCTTTGTATTTTATTATTATAATTTTGATCTTTAAAAAAAATTACCCAAACCTAATCCATATATTTCCCCAGAATTTTATACAAAGTAAGTATTTAGTTTCTTTTGGTTGGATCGAGTTGAACAAGGCACTGAGATGTTGTGCCAAGCTCTGTTCAGTTGCCCAATGTTGACATAAGGTATATCAGTGGTGTTAAATTTGAATAGAATCAGATCCCTTTGGGCCACGTAACTGATTTGGGAAACCACAAATTACCGTTATCTGTGTTGTATTATATTTTTATTTATTTTGTTAAACACTTCCCAATTACATTTTAATCTGATTGGGCCACATTGAGAACAAAAGATCCATGGGCCGTGAGGTTTTCAAGTCTGCCATATGTGTGGAAATGGCTTCTTTTTGAGAGTACTGAATGTTCTCCACACCCTGAGTACTTATTTGGTCAGAAGTTAAAATTGTAGAACAGAGGCACAGCCTTCTCTGGAAGGCCATACCAAGGTCTGCAGAGTGCTGCCATAAAAAGCTCAGAGATTTCCAAAGAGCGAAGTAAGATGGAAGTCCCCCAAACAAAGCTGAAACACTATTCCATATCAGCATAAGGCTTATGAAAATGAAGATCATCCCATTGGTGTGAGTAGGCAAGAAAGCAATACATGCAAGGCTCTCCTATGAAAGAAAGTTCATAGGCTTCTTAGTCTGCATCTGGGAGGGAACTCAGAAGTCATCTAATTCAATCACCCCATTTTACAGGTGCAGAAACTGAGACCCATGAGGCCAAATGATTTGTCCAAAATCACAGAGCTAGAAAGCATCAGACACGGGATTTGCATCCATGCCCTCTAACACCAGGGCTAGCTCATCAAAACCTTGGCAATATCTATTACTGAAGGGAAAGGCCATCCTTTATTTTTTCCTTTCAGAAAGAGATTTGTTCTGGCACTGGGCTCCATTCAGTTATGTAGTTAATGGATATCATTGACTATAACTGGATTGTCAATCAAGGAAATGATCTGAAAATTAATGAGAGCTCTTTCAGGTCACACTGCCCATAATAGGACAGTGACCTTTTTCCAGATAATTATGGTTTAGTGGGAGAAGTCCTGAATTTGGAATCAGAGGTTCCAGAGTTTAAATCCAGACTCTGCCACTTAGCCCTTGTGTGACCCTGAAGAAAACAGCTTACATTCTTCCACCTAAGTTTCATCAACTAGAAAATGAAGAAATCAGATGATTGCTAAGGGCCCTTCCAGGTAAAGATCAATGATGCTACTTTTATTGATTTTTGGACTTTTGGATTAGTGCCGTTCTGTGATTTGTGTTTGTGACTTCACTTCTGGAGTTCCTTCACTTTAGACTCCTATAAGGAGATGCCGTGAAGTGGAATGGAAAAAAGCTTGAGTCTCAGAACCACCTTGAGGCGAGTCTGAGCTCTTCGAGCCCCGATCTCCTCATCTATAAAATGAAAATAAAAATATTTGTACCTTCTACCTCCTGGAGTAGTTCTGAGGAAATTAGTTCCTAAATTGGAAAGCACCATGTAAGTGGAGATCTTATTCCATATAAATAGATCTTAATCTTCCCATTGACTTCCTATTCTTCCTATTGCACAGGAAGGAATGTGCAATATAGGTTCCAAAGCCAAAGCTTTGAAAGGCTAAGGTAATCCATAAATTGATAGATGCTGGTAGCCAATTTGAAAATGCCTCTGCTCTAGTTCCAGTTCTTCCCTAGATGAATTCCAAGGACGCTCCTCAGGGCCATACCCGTTCCATACCTGCCAGATCTGAAGCCTCTTCCCTCTTCTCTGGCTGACCTTTGGTTGAAATTGCTAAGAGTAACCAACTCTGACATCTTTATTAAAAACCTCTAAAAATTTGTCTTGAAAAAGTTGTAACAGCCTTTCCCCAAATACATGTTGAAACATTCCAGCAAATGGCACCCAAACCAAGGATGCACTACCTTATAGAGGATCCTAGAATTAGAATTGAAAGGAACCAGCAACACGTAAGCTCCTTGATAGTCAATATTTGGTTTTTGTCTCTGTATCATAGGTACCTATCAGATGCCTGGTACAGGGTTGGCACTTAATAAATGCTTGTTAACAGAATATAGGCCTATCTCCTCACTTTGTGGATGAGGAAACCTTAGCCCAGAGAGGTGATACTGCTTGCCTAAAGTCACACAAGCAATAAGTTGCAGATTTTTGAGTCGTTTCTGACTCTTCTCGATCCTATTTAGGGTTTTCTTGGCAGACACACGGGGATGATTTGCCATTTCCTTCTCAGCTCATTTTACAAATGAGGAAACAACTCAAACAAACAGGACTAAGTGACTTGCTAGTAAGGTCTGAGGCCAGATTTGAACTCAGGAAGATGAGTCTTCCTGACTCCTGGCCGCGTGCTCTATCCACTGCGCTGCCTCCCTGCCCTGGATAAGTTGCAAAATCAGGATTCAAAGGTATCTTCTGCCACTGAAGGGTGGAATCCCTCCGTTCGATGCATAAAGTGCTTTGTCTGATTTCATTCAAAGTGCTGATTTCATTGTCACTTGCTAGAACCTAGGTCTATCAACTCTAGGACCAATGCTCTTTTTAATATACCACACTATTAGGACATTGCAAGTATGCAAAAAGTGTGGAGATCGGTTATTTAGCGGCTAATGAAAAGGAAAGATTTAAGTGCAGTAAGATCTTTAGATGAAAGGTGCAGTGGAACCACAGAAGTTATTGATTGTATTTCTTGTGGCTTTGATTTCCAGGTCCCACCGATCTCAGCATGAAGAGACAATTAGCCACCAGTTCTGGGTCCTCCAGCACTTCTAGCTCCCGACCCCAGCTGAGCCCAACTGAAATCAATGCTGTGCGGCAGCTCGTGGCGGGATACCGAGAATCTGCAGCATTTTTACTCCGCTCGGCAGATGAACTGGAAAACCTTATTTTACAGCAGAACTGAATTCTGTGACCTTGGCACTCACTGGGTCTCATTTTGGAGTTTCCACTAATGACATGTTGGTTTCCCAGAACAGATGCTTCAGGTATTACTACTGCACGGTTTTTTTAGGAGAGTTAATTACCATAAAGCCACACTGTTCTTGATCCTTAAGGTGATGTGTTAAGGTGCTTCAGGGGAACTCTGGCCTCTGATCTTTTCGAGGTACTTTCATGTGTCCAGCCCATTGCTTTCTGTTTTAGTCTATCAGCATAAATATCGAAAAAGTGACTGTAGAATGCTAACTCACAGATGAAACAGAAGATGCTGTGGTCCTTTCCATTGGTTCAAGCTGCAAGTGCAATATTGTGGAATATGCTACTGACTCAGTGGACCGAAAGCTGCAGTATATGGCAAAAAACAATGCCAAATTTCCTGTTGGTACAGGATAAAACAGCAATTTAAAGGATCTTGTATTTTAAAAAGAAAATGTAATTTTTATAAAAAAAATGTTTTTTTCATTCAAAATTGTCATTTTTACTTTGGTAACTTTTTCACTGGTCCTAAAAAAAAATGTTTTGAGAAACTATCGTTAAGTCACCTTTCCATTCTCTTTTTTTCTTTTTCTATCTCCAAATTCTTTCTACAAAAGAAAAATACACTTGATGCTGGAAAATTCATATATCTACATTCTGTAAATCATCACATCAGAAACTACTACCCAAAGGAGCCTGCATTACTTGCGTTCACGATGTTTTCAAAGTCACCCCATTCAACATGGCAGCTTTCCTATTGGCAATTGTCATCACAGAGCTGGTTTTTTTTTTGTTGTTGTTTTTGTTGTTTTAATTTTTGTTGTTTTTTTTTTTGTTTGGGATTGTGGTTTTTTTAATGATATCTATTTATATAAAGACATATCATTTTTTTTTAAATCACCCTCTTGGTTTGTTACAGCTGCTCACTCACGATTACTGCTGCTGCTGCTGTCTTGTAGAAGTTCCTGTAGTACTGATTGGATGTAGATGACTGAATGTTAAATGGTTGCAAGTGACAATCTGAAAATTTGCACTCTTTTCTGTAGTTTCCTTTCCATTTTTCTTTCTGAGATACTTTCCAAAAACAAAAAAACAAAACAAACAAACAAAAAAACAAAAGGCCATTTCCTCTCTGAATATGCTTTATAGAATTCTCAGAACCAGTCTCCAATGTTCTCCAAACTCTCAGTGGATGCAGCTGTGACTCCTAGTGAACTCTCACCCTGCTTCTTCCCAGCCCTGGCCCTGCTTTCTTATTTTCTAGTGTTGGAGCCACATAAATGGTGTTTTCTTTGTGCACTAAGGCAAGCTTATTTTTAAATATATAGAGATGAGTCCTTTAGTTGATGCTTACTTGTACTATTTGTTCTATTGTTTAGATTTGGTTGGATAAACAAATTCCTTGTACATTCCTGAATTTGCCTTATTTCATGTAAAAAAAATTCTGTAATTCCATTTTTGAGGATGAGTTTAAGGCATCAGTGAGATTTCCTATCTACTTGTTCCATAGAGTTTTTCAAGTAATGACTGTGATTGTGACCCAGTAATGTGCACTTTTCTTGTGCCTGTGGACATTGCTATGCTTTTCTTCTTCTAGTGTTTCTAGAATTACTGTTGCTTACAGTTATGTTTTAAAAAAAAAAAGATAAAAAACCAAGAACTTTTGTGATACTGTTGGTGAATATAAATGTGAAAAAAAACCTATTGAAATATGAGTATTTTGGAGATACATAGATTCGCAAACGTTTCAAAGTGTGGATTTAAGATTCACAGATTTAAATGAAAATTCAAAAAATGAGGGCTGGTATAATTTCTCCTGTTTTGTTTGGTTAAATAAACAGATTTCTGTGTTTAAACATGGTTGTGAAACCTTATAAACTTTCCAAGTGTTCTAGTGCCTAATCTGTTTTGAACATTTTGCCTTTTAAATGCTAAATAGAACTGGGTAGTCCTATCTAGCACAAACTGACAAGTCAACCCCATGTTTAAAGAAATAACCAAGAAATACAAGGATGTTATATACCTAGTGCATAAGCCTAGTGAAGAATTCTCTCAAAAGCAGAAACAGAGTAGAAGATAAATAAGAAAGACCATATCACTACAAGCTTTAATAATTCAAACCTGCAGGGTAACACAACTAGGCTGGCACAAATCCATCTGGTGATACTTGGTCTCCTCTAAGCAGGTGTATTCTCTTTCTTTCATAGGGGGAGGTTTCATTGCCTTGGAAAAACATATACCTCTGGGGGCTGTGAAATTTTAGTCAAAGGCATCTATTACGTGATCTGGGATCCAACATCTATAGTAATTTGGGAATTTTGCTATAGTTGTCATGTTATTAGGTAAAATTCAAGATGGATGGAAAGCCTCATACTAAAAATATATCTCCATGTAGGAGAATTTTTAATGACAGTTATCAATCAATCAATATTTATTAAACATTTACTTAAAACAGTTGCAAAACCCAATTCTATCACTGGGAACTATAAACTCATAATGGAAAGCTAAATATTAACTCATTTGTCCCATCTGAGTCTTCCTCAAAAGACTTTATTCATTCTTTTCTCTCAGAGCACATTTGATTGAAGTGTGCATGTTAGTGCAAGTGTGAGATCAGAAAGAAATCAGGCTGAGGCCTAAAGAAATGGGTTTATGAAGAAATATGAAAAGATTATGTAGTAGTGCTCATTGACACTGTTCTGCCTGCCATTAGGTACTGATGTCCCTGAGACATGCTGACTAAAACCCTGTGGATTTCTCAACCTTTTAAAGCCTCTTTGGAAAACTGAATTTGGCCCCATAATGGCAGATATTTTAAACCATAAACATATGGAAAGTCATTGGCTTTTACCCTGTTTTCCATAGAGCAGAAACAAAATAGCTCCATCTACCCATCAGTCATCTTGAGTTTTTACCATGTATTTTGCTAAGCTTAGCTCCCAAAACAAGAGAGGGGGAAAAAAAAAAAAACAGCTGATAAGACAACAAAGCTCATCTTTTGAGGGCAGAAAGCAGCTATAGGATTCACTTCACAGTTCTTTTCTTGATAATCCATAGCTGGGAACCAATCTTAAAATATTGCAATTAACAGTTGATTTCTGTCATTTTGTCATGTAAGGATAATTCTACCGTACTGTTTGCTATAGGGTTTTTCCTACCACTGCAAAATAAAAATGGTTGAGGACTGCATATCAGCTGCCAATATGTGGGCTGCTCCTCATAGATATTTTTTGAAGACTAAAAACAACTGAAGACTCCCCACAGGGGCATAAATGATTGTAGTTAATTAAAAGAATTCTGTCAAAGTCCTTTTCAAGGTTTTAAAAATCAGCATATTTGTGCTTGTTTATAAAAACCGCATAGAAAGATTTTTTTTCTCAAATGGTGCCTGAATATGGCTTTATTATTATAGGGTTGCTTAAGAATTAATGTTCAATGCTGGAATGTTTTTTCCCTTTATTTTTAACAAGAGAATGGAAACTTTTGGTGAAAGAGCCATACTTTAAATCTGATCAAAGGTGGGTATGGGGAGGGGGAAGGAGGAAGTAGGTCATGATGGGGCTCAACTATTTTTTATTTGATTTTCACCGAAGTCCAATCACTGTCTTAATTTTTGATTGCTGTTTTTTTTTTCCCAAAAAAGAAAGACATTGATGTCACTAGAATTTATCTGTGCCAGATAAGAACTCTGGTGCCTTCTGAGCTTGAGTCTAAAAATACAGTCTAAAAAACTTGTCTTGGATTTCCTAAGCAGATGAGACTAATACAAGAAAAGGACACTACCCTTTATTCTAGTCTTTGTTGTTATGATAGAATAATGTCCTTAATGGACAGATCAACTTGAAAGATCTAGAGGTGGGTTCATCGTCATGATCCATTGGGATTGAACAAGTATCTAATATACCCAGCACCACTTAAAGTATGCTCTTTTTCTGCCAATTAAGTGGGGCAGTAGCAGTTTCTTGTTACACCTCATTCATTTATTTCATATAGGAAGAAAACATACTCACAAAGTAAGGAACTATGACAACTGGTATAAATAGTTAGTAGTTCACCAAATTCGACAAACCTCTCAGGTCTTCATTCAAACGGTAAATTTTAGGTAAAATTTGCAAGGTGTTATTTCAAATACATCATTTTCTCTCTTTCTTTCCATGTGAGGGGGAAACAAAAGATCTAGGTCATAGTTCAAGAAGTTTATATCCCTCCAAAAATTCAGTCTTTTTCTTCCAGGTCTTCCTTCAGATTCCCAAAATTCTGATTTTTTTTTTGTCAGAAGTCTTTAATAAATAAAAAGAGGTAATATAATTATGTATTTCTGTGAATCATTTTGAACATTTTTATTTTTTAAAAAGTGTTCAGTTTGGCCTTGCTGAATTGTATTGCAGGTATGCTATTTAGAATAATGAACATGAAAATATGTAATCCCAGTTCCCCCAAAGTGACAGAATGTATCATCTCTTACATAATCTGATAAGGGTTACTAGAATGACTACAGGAAGGTTATTTTATTCAGTCACAGTAACTCTGTAACTGAGTAGACAGTACTCTGTGTACCAGACTATGTACTAAGTGATAAAGGGCTACAATCAATATTTTTGGAGAGAGCACACACATCAATGAAATTTCAGTACCTTGAAGTAGTGTTTACTGGAAGACATTCCATGGCCAAGTGGTTGGGCTTACTGAAGACCAAGATTTTTTCCCTGACAGTTATTTCAGGGTAGTGTCCCTCTCTCATTGCCCCGCTCCCTTTCATCCCTGTCCCAAAGGGAAGGATTTCAAAAGAATTAGTTGAGTCTTGTCTTGGTGGTATCAGTCAGTCAATCTATAAACATTTTAAAGTGACTATTACGTGCACTATGGAGATACAAAGAATGGCAAAAGACAATCCCTGCTCTGAAATAGTTCACGGTCCAATGACAGAGACAATGCACAAATAATTACGTACAAACAATCTACATACAGGATAAATAGGGAATAATCAGC